GGCTAGTAACACTGAGCATTTTTTTTATGTAGCCAAGGTTTTTATTGGTCACGTGGGCACCCTCTGCTTAGCATGTACCCAAATCCAGGGCTCCCAGAAGGAAAGCTGATGTTCAGAATAAACCATTTTGCTTCTGTCACCCATTTAGACACAGTGGACCGCTTTTGGCAGTGCTGAAAATGGTGGGATTCACCCCGAATCTAAGATGCCAGCCAAACCCAAGTATCTGTTCTCAAAGGAGCAGTTTAATTAATGCTGGCTGCCTGCGTTAACTGTTTTGTGCACACTGACCAAATGCAAAAAACAGGAAAGCATATCAGGAAAGGGAAGAGGCCGTGGGTGTCAGTTGCCGTCTCTGCCTTTGCCAGTGTCTGTGGAGAACCACCGACAGACGTGGTTTTCTAACCATGGCTCCCGACTTCACGAGTCTCAGCTCCTCTGGCTATAAAGCACATGCCTCTGTCCTTGCCGTTTCTCCGGATCTGCCTCCAAATTGTGATTCATTATGAGTGCTCATTCCAGATGTCACCGTGTGGCTTCATAACAACTCTGAATTCTCAGTGGCCTTTCTCTTCATTTGAATGCCTGAGGTCAGCTCTTGGTGTTTCCAGTGGAAATACTGGGTCTTTTGTTCCAGAGCCCCAGACACTCTGTCTCAGACTCACTTTCACAGTGGTGAAGTTGGACTCAAGTTTCCTCCACCTGATCTCCTGGGTGTCTGGGCCACATGGTGGGGCCACACCTTCCTCTCTTCTTGTGGGCAGGAGCTGACAATTGTCTGTGCCCTTGCCACCTGTCATCAGCACGTCACCAAGGGCTTGTGATGTAGAGGAACCATTCTGGGAGGGAGCAGCCAGCCCGAGGGAGCCGTGAGCTGACTGAAGGCCAGGTTCCTCTTACGCTGAGTTGCCAAGGCGGCTGAGTTAAAGAAAGCAAAACAAGTCACCTCAGTTTTACCTGGCCAGTTCCTTCAGTTCCTAAGTGAAGTAAAGACTATTTTCTTGCCATTGTCTTTGCATACTTATTTTTGCATTACTTGTTTTATTTGTATGACCAGCAATGTTCTTTAGTGTTAAGAAAAGCAGGTTTTCTAACTTAAATGGCAAGCACTGGCTCTGACCTGAGACGGCCAGTGTTCAAATCCTGGGAGCTGTCACTCCCTTGTTTATATGACCTGGGCAAGTAAAAGTAACCAGTTTGTGCGTCAGTTTCCTGATCTATGAAATGGAGACCATAGGAGCTGGCATTGTGGCACTGCAGGTTAAGCTACTACCTGCGATGCTGGCATCCCATATCAAAGTGCAGGAGTCCTAGCTACTCCACTTCCTATCCAGCTCCCTGCTAATGCACCTGGGAAAGCTGTGGAAGATGGCCCAAGTACTTGATCTATCCACATGGGAAATCTGAATGGAGTTCCTGACTCCTGATTTTGGCCTGGCCTAGCCCTGTTCATTGCAGCCATTTGCAAAGTGAACCATGGTTGGAAGATCTCTCTCTCTCTCTTTCTCTCTCTCTCTCTCTGTAACTCTACTTCTCAAATAAACAGTCTTGAAAATATGCCGATAATAATAGTTACTTCTGTGATGGGGATCAGTGGAAATGATGCATCTAAGATGTGGAATAAATAAATTTAAAACCTGGCATGTTGTGAGCCTCAAGGAAAGTTTAAAATATTGCTGCTGTCATTAACCCTTAGGATATCACAACCTGTTCTTTTTGGCTGTTCGTAGTAATTAAGTAAATAAAATTCCTTAACCTCTACCCCGTACACCTTTAAGATTTTATTATAAATTAACAATGCTCATTTATTTATTTAACTTTAACTGACAAATAGTAACAGTATGTATTTATGGGACATGGTATGATAGTTCAACACATTGTACAATGTGTACTGATCAAATCAGGGTAATTAGCATTTCCATCTCATTAAACATTTACCATTTCTTTGTGTTTTCTGGTTCTTTATGAAATATATAATAAATTGTTGTTAACTGCAATCATACTACCATGCTATAAATATTAGAATGTGTTCCTCCTACTTTAGAGTATTTTGTGCCAGTTATCCAACTTCTCCCTGTCCCCTCTTACCCCTCCCCTTTCTAACCTCTGGCCACCGCTGCTCTCTGCTCTTACATGAGCTCAACTTTTTTGCTTCCACATTTGAGTGAGATCATGAGATCATGTGATATTTTTCTGTGCCTGGATTATTTCACTCAGCCTAAAGGCTCTTGGTTCTACCCATATGACAATGTTTACTCCTACTGAAGATAATGTTATTTATAATTAGCAATGGAAATGTAAGGTACTTGTTGGAAAGAAGGTGCATTGTGGTGGTGAAGCTTGCCCTCTCTAAAACAAGCCACTTGGTGTCAGAATCATGCTGCTGTCTTCTACCCCCTTGTCTCTTGCCCCTGGCTTTGTGAGCTGGGCCGCCAGCCTGGGCGGTTGGTTCTTGGGGCTGGGGGTGTGGAATGGAAATGATTTCTTCTCTCTTCCCCTGGCTAGAGACCCTTCCACCCTCTCTCCCCAGCCTGTCTCTCCAGGTGGGAGCCAGAGTCATGAAAATTGAATGTATGTACCTGCTCCTCTCTCTCAAAAGATTTTCAAATGCTGATGATAAAGAGCAAACTGGTAACTCCTCTGTAGTCTGCTTCTTCTTTGCATTTGTTCTCTTTCTGTTCATGTTGTTGAAAATGAAATTCTAGGAATATGCTTCAATTCTGTTATCTCTTTGATACTTAAAAAATTATTAGGGGGTTGGCACTGTGGCACAGTGGGTTAAAGCCCCAGACTGCAGTGCTGGCATAAATGGGGGCTGGTTCAAGTTCTGACTGCTCCTCTTCTGATCCAGCTCTCTGCTATGGCCTGGGAAAGCAGTAGAAGATGGCCCAACTCCTTGGGCCCCTGCACTTGTGTGGGAGACCCAGAAGAAGCTCCTGGCTCCTGGCTTTGGATCAGCCCAGCTCTGGCCACTGCGGCCATCTGGGGAATGAGTCAGCGGAATGGAAGACCTCTCTGGCTCTGCCTCTCTCTGTAACTCTGTCTTTCAAATAAATAAAGTAAATCTTTAAAAAAAATTATTAGGCTTTCTCTCTTGTGTTTTTCAAAGCCATAACTCCGTAATTCTTTCGCATGTTGTTTGCTAATGCTTTATTTTAATCAACCTCAACAGCTGCAAAAACAAACACAAAGCCTTGCCAGACTTTCCCTTCTGTCCGTGGCCTCCTGGCCTGTGTGTGAGCCTCCCCCCAGAGCCCTGTTCTTGCTCTCAGAACTCTGCGGAAGGAGCTCTGCCTGCCTCTTGGAGGTTGGCGCGGTGGAGACTCCGCACCTGTCTCTTCCTGGGAGCTGCGTGGTTTTCCTGCTTCCTTTTTGTCTGCTCCTTCTTGCCTTCTTCAAGTGCTGCCCTTTCTCTGCCCATCTCTGCAAAGTGGGTGTCCCTTGGGGCTCTGTCCTCACTCTGCGTTTGCCAGTGCAGACATCATCCACGCGAGTGACTTCAGTTAGCATCTGTGTGTTGATGACTTCCCCACTGTCTGTGTCCCAGCTCAACCTAGTCTGAGGTCTGCAAGTTCTCACAAGCATCTCAAATTCCAAATGTCTGAAAAAAAACAAAAACTTACAATGTCCCCCGCCCCCAGTGGCCCATCCAACTACCCCAGCTCAACAATTGGTGACATAGTCTACATCGTGGTTTGTGCCAGAAACTTGAGGGTCTGTCTAAACTTGCCCTGTCCCTCACCATCTCTCGTGTGTGGATTCCCAACAGATTCTGTTGACTCTTCCATCTAAATACATCCCAGTCTTGCCATTTCCATCACTACCATGATCCAAGCCATCACCACCTCTTCCTGGGTGAATACAGTGGCCTCTGTGTCGGTTAGGACTGAGTTAGGCTATATATCACACAAAATACCTAAATAGTACTAGTTTAAAAAATAGAGTTTTCTCTCTCTCAATGTGTGTGTGTGAGTGTGTGTGTGTGTGTTGGGCGGTTGTTAAAAAGCACTGGAGGCAGCCATCTGGAACTGGTAGGGGTAGGTCCAAACTGGTGATCCTGGCTCCATTCTTTCCACTCCCTCATCCAGTTTGTTTCTTTTTCTTTTCTTTTCTTTTCTTCTTTTCTTTTCTTTTTTTTTAAGTGAGCCACTTGACCTTCAGGTAGCTTTGGTGGCTACTTTTTTTTTTTTTTAAGATTTATTTTATTTATTTGAAAGACAGAGTTACAGAGAGGTAGAGGCAGAGAGAGAGAGAGAGAGAGAAAGAAGTGTCTTCCATCCTCTAGCTCACTCCCCAGTTGGCCGCAATGGCCGGAGCTGCGCCAATTCGATGCCAGGAGCCAGGAGCTTCTTCTGGGTCTCCCACATGGGTGCAGGAGCCCAAGGACTTGAGCCACCTTCTACTGCTTTCCCAGGCCATAGCAGAGAGCTGGATCAGAAGAGGAGCAGCTGGGACTAGAACCCGCGCCCATAGGGGATGCCAGCGCTTCAGGCCAGGGCTTTAACCCTCTGTGTCACAGTGCCGGCCCCAGTTTGTTTCTTTTATGTTGACTCAAAATGGCTGCCAGAGCTCCAGCTGTCTTGTAAGAATTGCTGGTTAGGAGAAGGAAGAAAGGCAGAGAGAGCAGGGAAGGTCTTCTCTACCTGAGTCACCTGCCTGGAACAGCCTTCCCTGTGCTCCACCAAAGACCTCACCTCTGTTTCACTGACCAGAACTTAGCCACGTGACCATGCCTAGCTGCAAAGGGAGTTGAGAAATACAGTATTTTATTCTGTTTCATTAGTGGAAAATAGATGTTGTGGGTAGATAGTTAACAATCTCTGCCACATCCTAAAGAACTCTTCTATCCATTCATGCCCCTCTCCAGCCTTGTACACACAACAGCCACACTGATCTTTCATCTATGTATTTAATTTTATTTTTGAGTTAATTTTTTTGAGAGAGAGAGAGAGAGAGAGGGAGTCAAAGAGAGTGAGTTCCCATCTGCTGATTCACTTCCCAAATGCCCATGGCGGTGGGGCTGGGCTGGACTGAAGCTGGGAACGAGGAGGAACGTGATTTAGGTCTCCCAGTGGGTGGCAGGAACCCAATTACTTGAGCCGTCTCTGCTGCCTCCTCGAGTTTTCATTTGAAGGAAGCTGAAGCTGGAAACCAGAGCTGGAAGTTGAACACAGGTGCTCTGAATGGGGGATGAGAGCATCCTAACCAGTAGACCAAACGCCTACCCTCACGGTGGTCTTTTAAGAACACGCTCATGTCCCAGCCCTGCCTGAAACCCTCCACGAACTCATTATCCCCAACCAGATCTCAGCAGCCCTCAGTGGGACGCCTGACCACCTGGCCACACCGATCTGCAGTCCCTCTGCTCCTCACTCCCTAGCTTCCCGGCCTTTCTGTTCCTTGAAGTCACCAGTACCTTCCTGTCTCAGAGCAAGCACTTTGTGTCCTCTGTGGAGGGTAAATCTCTCCCCTGTGAACTGGCAGGCTGACCCCCTTGAGGTTTTCAGCTTCACTGTCACTTCCTCAGTATGTCCGCCCTGGCCCTCCACATTAGGTTAGATTTTCCTACATAATATATCGCACTTTGTCTGCGTATCTCTATTTTAAGGTGTTGTTAGTACCATTATCAGTCTTCCTCTTGAGTCTGTAAGTTTCCCAAAGCAGATGAAGGCATCACTTAGCCAGTTCTCTGCCAGTGGTAAATATTCAGTAAGTGGCTATTGAATGGTTGAATGGAATCCAGCTTCAAGGGGAATGAGATGGATTTATTTTGTATGCTGTTAAAGAGAAGTAAAGGAAACAGGTAAGGAATGACATCTTTCTATGTAGTCAGAGATGAAGAATCAGAACACGTGGGAGAAGTTGGGGTTAGAAGAGTAAGCTTGGAGCCATCGGATCTGGCTCATCTTATGCTGTTTGTCATGAAAGGAGGCAGTGGACTGGGGAGACCAGCGGATCCACTCTGAATCCTGGGTATGCCATTTACTCTCAGTGACACCCTCTGGCCATTTGGTAAGACTCTCTGAGTTTCAGTTTCTTCAGTCTACACTGCAGAAGATAGCCACTGTGCAAGGCCCTTTGCGTGTAAGCATCCAGGCGAGTGTTGTGCCTTCTCCTGTCAGTTTGGTTTATAAGACATGAAGATATTAAAAGGATGAAATTGTTTCTGTCATAAAATCAGAGACAATAGGAAGCATTATTCTCTTTGTCATTTCTGTGTCATGCTTGAATGCACATTTGCACAGTGAAAATCAATATTTGCTTCTAGGCTTAGGAATACAAGGGCTTTGGGAACTTTTTAAAGTTTGTTTTTAAGGTTTTTTTTAAACAAATACTTTTGTGGTGTGGAGGGAAGGAAAAACAATAATCTTTTTTTTCCTCTGCTCATCTTAGTTTTACTGGCTAGAGCCTTATAAATTAGACTACCAGAAAGATTAACAGAGAGAAAGCATAGACATTTTATCTGGTAATTAAAAAAAAAGATCTATTTATTTATTTGAAAGGCAGAGTTAGAGAGAGAAAGAGAGAGAGAAAGAGAGAGAGAGAGAGATTCCATTCACCGGTTCTCTCCCCCAAATGGCCACAACAGCCAGGGCTGGGTAAGGCTGAAGCCAAGAGCCAGGGCTTCTTCCTTAGCTCCCATGTGGGTGCAGGGCCCCAAAGACTTGGGTCATCATCTGCTGCTTTCCCAGCCATATTAGCAGGGATTAGAAGTGGAGCAGCTGGGACTCCAACTGGTGCTCACTTGGGATGCTGGTGGTGTTGCAGGTGGAGGCTTAACCTGTTAAACCATACGTCAGCCCCTATCTAGTAATTATTAACATGTGCATGGGAGTCTTCATGAGGCAAATCAAGACTTTGCCAAACAGCAGTTAGAGCTGAAAGCTTACACCAGGTTGGACAAAGATTAGAAAATTGATAAACTATGAAACCAGGAAAATAAAAAGAGTCTGGGGATAGGGCAGTCAGTTGTAGAAGAGCAGCTGGAAGGTAAGGGTTAGTGTAGCAGGGCTGGCATGTGCAGATCTCTCCCAGCCTTTACTCCCTGTCTCTGGTGGTGAGAATGCCTGCTTCCTGTTGGCACTGGAGGGCACCTTTCTGATGGGTGCTGTCCTTCCAGGAAGAGGAAGGAAGGTCTGGGTACCCGTCTTGCATCTGCTGGCTTTCTGGTGTCTTTTACTCAAAACACTTGAGAGCCCAAATGGCATGGTTAGGGGTGTCATACAGTCTGTCGCCCTACTGGTGATGCAGTGTGTGTTAAGCATGGTCTTAATGCCCTTGATGGCTATACTAGCTATACTAACGTGCTGTGTTAGTATTAACTTGAATCCTCTAACTGTAGGTGGTAGATACACTTATTCCCATTTTGACAGATGAGGAAGCTGAAGAGAACAGAGGCTGAGAACCTGGCTTAAAGGCACGATATATGTGTGGCACAGGTCTAGGCAGTCTAATTCCAGAATGTACCGTGCCGCCTTCAATAATTTTGTGATAGCTTTTTGTCTGGTTCCCATTGTGTAGTTACATAAGGATCAGATGACGTATGTTAATCTTTATATTCATCAGAATGTGAGTTAGCCATCAAGAAAGTCTAACTGGTAAAAGCGTATCTTTGTATTACTACTATCATGCTTCGGAGGAAGAGAAATTTTTGGCCAATGCTTCTCCCTGCTATTGTGTGTTAAAAGCCAGGAGTTGGCAGAGATCAACTCTTCCTAACCTAAAAAGGAAGTGCTAGTGTAGTTGCCTGCTGATTCAGTGTTGGTTTCATACCATCAGACAGAACTACAATAACAGCCTCAAAGTGCAAAAATAGTGCAGTCACATGAGCCGTCAACGGTCATCTTTAAAAACAGAATTGTAAAACTCATGAAGTAGAGGTTAGTCTCATTTTCTGGCTGAAAAGAGGAGATATTGGTAGAGACGGGTGATTTCTGTTGTGCCTCCTGTAATTTTAGAGAACTGGCATTTGTCATAATCTAAGGAAGGAGCTCATTTGTGCTATTTTATTTTATAAGACATGATCAAATTTGACAGCAATTCTCAGAAGATCTTTCTTGGAGTCTAGAAGGTAGGTGTCAGAATTGTTTTCTTAACCAAAACTTGTGGCTTTTGTTTGTATTTTCCCTAGGGCTAGTATGACTTTGAAAAACTGTATTAGTAGCTAAACTTATCCAACACTTAATTTATCAGCTCTGTTCCAAAAGCTTTACATGAATTGACTCCTTCAGTACTTACCATGAACTTAGGAAGTTCTTGGTGCTGTTATCTATCCTATTTTAGAGCTACAGAAACAGGTACAGAGAGGCCAAGTAAGTGACCCAGCGAGACCCAGTGAGTGAGTCTCTAGACTTTTAGCTTCTAAGCAGTAAGCTCTATTGGCCCAGCATCCCGAGGTGCAAGACATGTAAAACAACATTAAGATGTTCATTATCTTTTTTTCTTATTTTTAAAAAGCTACCACATTTTTCTTCCTTTTAAGAATAATGATGGCTCACCAAGTAACAGAGCCAGGCTCAGCTTTGTGTGTGTGTGTGTGTGTTTAATCAGCCCAGGCCCCTGCATACCAGGTATAACCATTTAGGCCGATGGTCACCATCACCTTGAAGATGAAGTACAACCCCATTAGCTCTACGTGCAAATCCCTTCCTGAACTGCTCCCATCCTGCCCCCGCTCTCCTCTCCTGCCTCTCCCTCCATCCTCTGTGGTGCATCTCAACACACTGGTCACTCGGAAATGTTGCGATGCCCAAATCTCCTATGCTCTTTGGTAACTACCCAAGTTTGCTCACTATGTTCTCTTCTCCTTTCTATGAAAACTCCGTGAAGCCTTCCCTGACTCTATGTCCCATTGTCCTTGCTCAGTCAAGGACTTTCCACGCTGCTGCAGGTGCAGCCGTCTCTTTCCAGTCCATTGCAGGTTCCTTGAGGACATGAGCTGTGCTTTCCTCACCAAATGCTACCTAAGAGTCAAATAAAAGAGATGAAGTAGTGAGGATAGGGGAAGATTATGGAATGACGTGAGGTTATTTATTCCGTTAATGTTTGACTTTATTATCCTGTCTCAGGAGTATATGGCTGATTTTGGAACATAAACCATGCAGTGTGACCTGCTTTCTTCATGACCAGGAATTAAATGTTCATAGATTATGACAGTTTCAACCATGGTATTCATGAAACATGCAACAGTGAAATAGAAAACTACCTTGTGCTGGTGGTTCCTGTAAGTAGTATGGCTGGCTGTTGGGCACTGGAGATCTGGTGTTTGGCCTGGGGAGAGGAGCAGCTCTCAAACTGGCCAGGTTTTCTGCAGTGCAGATAAATTTTATTATTTATTCAATAAAAAAATTTAACATAGAAATTGAACATACTTACGGGGCACCCTGTGATTTAGTACATGCATGCATTATATAATGTGGAGCCAGGGTAAATACATCTGTATCCTCAAACTTAACATTTCTTTATAGTAAAAACGTTCAAACTCCCATTTTCTAGTTTTTTCTCCTTCATAGGAAATATACGGTCTCTGAATATTGTTTATTATCTCCCTAATGTGCAGTGGAACTCTAGAACTTCTTACTCCTATCCAATTATAACTTAGTACCCACCCATCAGCCTTTCCTCAACCCTCCTTCCCCACTTGTCTCCCAGCCCCTGGGAACTGCCATTATACTTTCTAACTTCTGTGGGTGTCAACCTATTTTTTTAAGACTCCACATTGAGTGAGATCATGCAGTGCTTGTCTTTCTGTCTTTGGTGTATTTTGCTTAATGTAATTCAGTAATGATCTCCAGTTCCTGTTTGTTGCAAATGACCAGACTTCATAATTGTTAATGGCCAAGTAGTATTCCATGGTGTGCATGTACCACATTTTCCTTAGCCACTCACCCGTGGGGGGCACTCAGGTTGTTTCCATTTCCTCACTGTTGTGAGTAGTGCTGCGCCAAACATGGGAGTGCAGGTGTCTCTTCCGAAGGCTGATTTCAGTTCTCTTGGATGTATGCACAGCAGTGGGATTGCTGGATACATGGAGTTCTGTTTTCAGTGTTTTTTCCTAAATGTTTGTTTATTTTTATGTATTTGAAAGGCAACACAAGAGAGAGTGTGAGTGCAAGATTGATCATTTGTCTGTCAGTTTACTCCCCCAAATTCTCTTTCTCTCTCTTAGAAATTTATTTATTCATTTGAAAGTCAGAGTTGCAGAGAGAGAGTTGAGAAAGAAAGAAAGAGGGAGAGAGAGAAAGAGAGGGAGAGAGGGAGAGAGAGACAACAAGAGCTTCCATCTGTTGATTCGCTCCCCAAATGACTGCAATAGTCAGGACTGGGCCCAGGCTGAAGCCAGGAGCCAGGGGCTTCTTCTGGGTCTCCCATGTAGGTTGCAGAGGCCCAAATACTTGAGTCATCTCTTGCTGCTTTTCCCAGGCTATTAGCAGGGAGCTGTATCGGGAGTGGAGCAGCTGGGACATGAACCAGTGCTCATATGGGATGCTGGCGTTGCAGATGGTGGCTTTACCAGCTATACCACAATGCCGGCTCCATTTCCCCAGATTCTCACACAGCAGCCAGGTCATCTTCCACATGGGTGTCAAGGACTCAAGTACTTGAACCTTCATCTGCTATCTCCAAGGATGCACATTAGCAAGAAGCTGGACACAAAAACAGAGTCAGAACTCAGTTCCAGGTACTCCGATAATAGGATGCAGGCATTACAAGTGGTGGCTTACCTTGCTGTTCCACAACACCTGGCCCTGATTTTAGTGTTTTGAGGACCTTTCATACTGTTGCCCATGATGACTGTACTAACTTATATTCTCATCAACAGTGCATGGGAGTTCCCTTTTTCTCCACATATTACTTGTCATCTTTGTCTTTTCGATAACACCTAGTGTAACTGGAGTGATGTGAATAGCTAGCTCATTGTGGTTTTGCTTTGCATTTCTCTGATGATTAGTGATGTTGAGCTTATTTTTCATGTACTTGTTGGCCATCTGTATGTCTTCCTTTGAGAAATTTCTGTTTATCTATTTCCATTTTAATTTTTTAAAAGTTTATTTTTGGGGCTGGTGCTGTGGCGCAGCAGGTTAAGCCATGGCCTATAGTGCCAGCATCATATATGGGTGTTGGTTTGAGCCTCTGCTGCTCCATTTCCAATCTAGCTCTCTGGTAATGTGCCTGGGAAAGCACTGGAAGATGGCCCAAATGTTTGGGCCTCTGTACCCACTTGGGAGACCTGGAGGAAGCTCTTGGCTCCTGGCTTCAGCCTGGTCCAATACTGGTTGTTGCAGCCATTTGGGGAGTGAATCAGCAGATGGATGAAAGACAGAGAAAGGTGGGGTGAGAGAGATAGATCCTCCATCCACTAGTTCATTCCCCAGGTACTTGCAGTAGCCAGGTCAGAACCACTGAGCCAGGCTGAAGCAAGGAGCCAAGAACTCCGTCCGGGTCTGCAATATGGGTGGCAGGGGCCCAAGCACTTGCGCCATCTTGTGCTGCTTTCCCAGAAGCATTATTAGGAGCAGGGTTGAAAATGGAGTGGGTGGGATTTGAACTTGGTGTTCCAGTACAGGGTGTGGGCATCTCAAGTGGTGGTCTAGCCTGCTATGTTATAATGCCTGCCCCCAACTGCTCATTAAAAAAAAGTGTTTATTTTAAAGGCATGGTGGGGGGTGGGGGTGGGGGATGAATGAATGCTCCCATCTGCTGGTTTACTTCCCAAATGCAAGCTGAAGTCATTTTTGTCCTTGGTGAGAGTAAAGGTCTATTTTCATTCTTTTGGGCAGAAACCCAACTTCTTTGAGCCATCAGCTTCTACATCCAAGTTGTGCTTTGGCAGGAATATGGGATTAGGAGTGGAACTGGGAATCAAACCCAGGCACTCTGATGTAGTGTGTGGGCATCCCAAGTCTATCTTAACTGCTAGGTCAAACTCCTGTACCTACTACTCATTTTTTTTTTTTTTTACGACTTATGGATTACAATGGCTTCCCCCCCATACCGTCCCTCCCACCCACAACCCTCCCCTTTCCCACTCCCTCTCCCCTTCCATTCACATCAAGATTCATTTTCGATTATCTTAATATACAGAAGATCAGCTTAGTATCCTACTACTCATTTTTAAAAAAAATTTTTTGCTATTGACTTGAGTCATATATTCTGATTATTAACCCCCCTGCAGACTTATAACTTGTAAATAGAATATTCTTCATTCTGTTGATTTCTTCCTTTGCTGTGCAGGAGATATTTAGTTTGATGAAATCCTATTTATCCATTTTTGCATTTGTTTGTGTACTTTTTGGTTCTGATCCAAAAATTCTTTCCCCATTTCACTGTCCTGAAGCATTTCCTCTAAATTTCTTCTAGTAATTTCAAAGTTTCAGGTCTTGGGGGCTGGCATTGTGGCATAGTGGGTAAAACTGGCGACGTCAGCATCCCATATGGGCACTGGTTTTGAATCATGGCTGCTCCACTTTCATTCCAGCTCCCTGCACCTGGAAAAGCAGCACAAGATGACTGTGCTCCTGTGCCCTCGTGGGAAACTCAAATAAAGCTCCTAGATCCTGGTGTCTACTTGGGGATTGAACAAGTGGATAGTAGATCTCTCTTTCCCTGTATATGTGGGTCTACATCTAGGGTCTGTATTCTGTTTGTCTATTGTATCTATCTACTTTTATGCTAATACTATGCTTTTTAAAAATTTATTTGAAAGTTAGAGTTACACAGAGAGAGAAGGAGAGGCAGAGAGAGAGAGAAAGAGGTCTTCCATCAGCTAGTTCACTCCCCAGATGGCTGCAATGGCCGGAGCTGTGCTGATCCAAAGCCAGGAGCCAGGAGCTTCCTCTGGGTCTTCCCATGTGGGTGCAGGGGCCCAAGGACTTGGGCCATCTTCCACTGCTTTCCCAGGCCATAGCAGAGAACTGATCTGAAGTGGAGGAGCTGGGACACGAACCGGCGCCCATATGGGATACTGGCACTGCAGGTGGTGGCTTTACCCGCTATACCACAGCGACGGCCCCAATACTATGCTATTTTAATCATGGTAGCTTTGTAATATATTTTAAAATTAGGTAGGTAGTATAATGCTTCCCACTTTGTTCTTTTTGCTCAAGACTGCTTTGGCTTTTGGGATCTTTTGTGGTTCTATACAAATTTTAAGTGTTGGGGACAGCGCCGTGGCTCACTTGGTTAATCCTCTGCCTGCGGTGCTGTCATCCCATATGGGCGCTGGGTTCTAGTCCTGGTTGCCCCTCTTCCAGTCCGGCTCTCTGCTGTAGCGCAGGAGGGCAGTGGAGGATGGCCCAAGTCCTTGGGCCCCTGTTCCCACATGGGAGACCAGGAAGAAGCACCTGGCTCCTGGCTTTGGATTGGCGTAGTTCTGGCCGTAGTGGCCATTTGGGGGGTGAACCAATGGAAGGAAGACCTTTCTCTCTTTCTTTCTCACTGTCTAACACTGTCAAATAAAAACTAAAATAAAATAAACAAATTTTAAGTGTTATTTTTATTTCTATGAAAAACGTCATCTGTATTTTGGTAGAGATTGCCTGGAATCTGATTCTTCCAAGTCATGAACTTGTTGTATCTTTCCATTTGTTTGTGTCCTCTTCAATTTCTTTATTCAGTTTTAATCTTAGATATCTTTCATCTCTTTTGTTAAATGTATTCCTAGGTATTGCCCTCTTGATTTCTTTTTCAGATAATTTGCTATTGGTGTGTAACAACACTATTGATTTTTATAAATTGGCTTTGTATCCTGCAACTTCACTGAATCTGTTGATTAGTTCTAATAGCTTTTTGGTGGAATCTCTGGTGTTTTCTTTTCTTTTTTTTTAAGATTTATTTATTTATTTGAACATCCAGAGTTACACACAGAGAGAAGGAGAGGCAGAGAGAGAGAGAGAGAAAGGTCTTCCATCCGCTGGTTCACTCTCCAATTGGCTGCAATGGCCATAGCTGTATTAATCCCAAGCCAGGAGCCAGGAGAAAGGAGCTTTTTCCAGGTCTCCCATGCAGGTGCAGGAGCTCAGGCACTTGAGCTATCTTCTACTGCCTTCCCAGGCCATAGCAGAGAGCTGGATTAGAAGTAGAGCAGCCGGGACTGGAACTGGTGCCCATATGGGATGCTGGCACTGCAGGCAGTGGCTTTATTCACTATGCCACAGCTCTGGCCCCTGGTGTTTTCTATATATAAGATCCATATCATATGTTAACAATGGTAATTTGACTTCT